TTTTAATTATTATAAACAATATCAAATTAGTTTTAATTACATCAAATTTATCTTGAAAGTAAGACTAGCCAACAAGAAAAATTCAATACAACACAAGCAATTAATTAAGAGACTGATTCCTTTTGCCCATTTCCCAAGAGATGTAGATAACACCTGCTTGATCAGAGATGCTCTACCAGTTATCACCTCACACTAAACTCATTAATTTATCTCTAATTTGACATGCAATTTTCTGCTATCAAAATTTTCCTTGACCAGTGCCTGATCATTACACCCATGGGAGAGGTGGAATTTTTCTTGTTACAGATTGCTGTAAAGAACATAATGAAAAAAATAAGACTAAATAATAAGCCGGACATGAAAAAGCTAACAGACGGACAGAGGGACATGAACGCTATAACATAATACGTCCCGTCTTAAGATGGACATATAAAAAATATAATGAGTAATTAAATTTTCACTGGAAATGTTTAAGGAAATTGTGAACACCTCTCACATCTAGAAAACATTAGTGATTTGGTACTTTCTCTGAAAAACCCAGCGGGGGGTATTTGTCCCTATTGGACAGTTCTAGTTGACATATCTTTCATGAAGAAGAAACACTTGAGAAGAGTTCAAGAGTTTAATTTTATAGATGGCAAGTGTTGCTTAGACCTAAAGTATTCTTTAATTGTGAAGAAAACAAACATAAGGGTGTTCGGCAATTCATAACTATTAACTGTGATTGCATTGTGTATTTTTAAAATCATTCTTTGGTATGCTTCAAACTCAAAAGTATTTATGAAAACATTGGCTATATTTATCCAGATGTATGAAATGTTTATCAAAGTATAAATTCCATTTTAGCATGTTCTCTTCAAAATGAGGGACCTGTCAACTTTTTACAATTCCAAGATCAGGAAATAATTCATGAGCAGCAACATGCTACTGGGAGAAAGGTACATATATCCTAAACCATAACTTGAATATCATACTATAGCTCTATAAGCAGCAACTATTGGTCTTTTTGTTACCTGGTGACTAAGAAGGAAAATGGAGTTAATTATATGTGTTCAGTAATTATTCATAGATACTGATGCCAGTTCTTTTTCACAAATTATCTTGCAAGTAAGACAAACATTTTCTCAATTCTGCAAAAGTATCTTATCTACAGAAGGTCACGAGAAATCTTATTTTACTCCTACATTAGTATATTTTGTAAATAATCCTTTCAAAAGAAAAATTAAGTAATGATAAACAAAGAAATTACAGAGTTATTAAATTTTAATCTTAGGGGTAAGATAAGGGCTAGTGGCCCAGTCCATTTATATCATAAAATAAGTTAATAGCAATATGTTCATCAGTTTGTATCTGTCTTATTTAATAAGATTGACATAGTCTTTTTGGTAAAAATAAAGGCTGACATTAATGGTTCAAAATATTTTCTTTTTGAGGTTAAAGGTCATCTATGAAATTTTTATCTACATGTATTAATATGGTTGCATCTCGTTTCAATTTTCATTAGTCATGATACTGTGAATACTGATATCACAGTTTATTTGAATTTATAACACAAATGCCTATGAAAATATATATATATATTTTTTTTCTTTTAAGGAAAACAGTAGAAGACTGCCTGCATGAGAATAAAAGTTTTGGACTCTGAAAAGGGATATGTGACAAAATATATATTTGGACAGTTGTTGATTTCCACAGAAACGCATGTCAAGTAACAAAAAAGTGGAGCACAGTTTCATGTCAATTCAAATCTTTAAATTCAAGGATGAACAATTGGTTCTTTATAAATCAAAATGACATGTTTGAAAAGGATTTTAGTGCAATGTACTCTGTCCTGGATACTTATCTATGTGTATGGGATTTGCAGGATAGACTATGTACAACAGATACTGTCACGAAATTTGATGTTGTTGATTATATGTTTGTATAAAAATGTTTAATATAGTAATAAACAAAGTTTAAGTCAATCTGTTGTTACTTTGTATATTAAGTATGATGTCCAGACTTCTTTTGCAGTTTCAATTTGGAAGGAAAAGCTTATTAATCATATGCACAAGCTTTATTCAAAAGAATGGAAAACAGTAATTAACTTTTGTGGCTATTAAAGATGCTATTTAATTAAATTTAATATTTGTAATTATCAGATTTAATGTACCCCAAATACTGTGTTTAATGTTTGTAAATATTAACTTTACTTTTTTGTAAAGTCAAGACAATGTGGGACATTACATCATATTTAAGTGCATGTAAAGTTAATGTAAAGGTTACCTTTTCCAACTTTGACTTTTTTCAGAAAAGCCAATTAAAGGCATTGTAAATAATAAATTTACATTATCTTTACTTGTTTTGTAAAGCCAAATTTTCATGCAGTGGAAGTTTAAATTGTTAAAATAAAGGGCCAAGTCCCCTTACAAGGGATGATAAACAAGAAAAGACAAAAATAGGGTGGAGTCATTAAAAAATCTTCTCAAGAACCACTGGGCCAAAAAAGCTGAAACTTATGTGGAAGCATCCTGGGGTAGTGTAAATTCTAAATTGTTCAAATCATGACCCCAGGGTAGGTCGGGGTTACAAAAGGGAATCCAAATTTTACATTGAAAAATATAAGAAAAATCTTTAAGAATCTTCTTCTCAAGAACCACTGGGCCAGAAAAGCTGAAACTTATGTGGAAGCATCCTAGGATAGTGTAGATTCTAAATTGGTCATATCATGACCCCCGGGGGTAGGTTGGGGCCACAATAGGGAATCCAAGTTTTATATTGAAATATGTAAGAAAAATCTTCTTCTCAAGAACAACTGGGCCAGAAAAACTGAAATTTATGTGGAAGCATCCTGGGATAGTGTAGAATTTAAATTGTTAAAATAATGGCCCCGGGGGTAGGGCGGGTCCAAAATAGGGAATCCCAATTTTACATTGAAATATATAGGAAAAATCTTTAAAAATCTTCTTCTCAAGAACAACTGGGACAGAAAAGCTGATACTTATGCGGAAGCATCCTGGGGTAGTGTAGATTCTAAATTGATAAAATCATGACCCCTCGGAGTAGGGCGGGGCCACAATAAGTATTACAAGGGGGGAAATCTGGTAAATAACAGCTTGGCCGAAGTTACTCAGTTGATGTGGCCTATGGGCCTCTTGTTTTGTTTTTGTTTTTTGTTTTTGTTTGTTTGTTTGTTTGTTTGTTTTTGTTTGGTTAGTTGGTTTGTTTGTTTTGTTTTTTTTTTTTGGTTTTTCTTCTTTTGTTTTTTTTTTTGTTTTTTTTGGTTATTTTTCTTTTTTTTTTTTAATTTTTTTTTCTTTGTGTGTGTATATATATATATATATATATATATATATATATATATATATATATATATATATATATATATATATATATATATATATATATATATATATGATGCACAATTTACAACGACAAGTGATTAACATTATTCATGTATGTATGCATATCTATATTTGTACAAATGTACAGTGTAAGTTCATCCCCCTCCCCTCCATTCATTTTAAGGAAGTGCATATTTGTATGCCTTCTCTCTTTCTAATAAAAGATTGTAATTTTTGTGAATCAAGATTACATGAATATTTTATATTTGTTTTTCATCATCAGTATTTTAATCCGATATTTATGCAGCTCGGGTATATAATAATGTTTTTATGGTATTACGGTGCAAGTAAAAACTTTCGTTGCGCGCAGTTTTGATGTTGCAACATGAAGGTCACAACTTTTTGCTTTGTTGATTTAAACACTTGCAATCGCATGGAAGTTTCGCCTTGCGTTGATGCATCCTGTCCAGTGGGGAATTTAGTGAACTGTGCAAAGGAACAAAAATGCTGATAGCACTCGTCTTGAGCATCTTCCGGCTGTGTTTTTCATTTTGATACATGGATGGTATCGGCCACAACTTAATGAAACGCACCCGTGGCCACGAAGCGGAGGAACACAAGAAGCTTGAGCAGCCCTGGAAGTGCAAGAGACCTCTTAGTACGGTGTTTAATAATCCCATCCATCAGATTATGGAGGAATAATATGGAAGGCCGTCTAAATCTGTACCTCTCAAACAATTCTTCATCTGTGTATAAATGAAGGGGGTGAATCCATCTCTAAACAACCAAGGGCTGGAGAAACGACTTCTCCGGCGGCGAACTTTTCCATTTTCATGGTTTATTTGTCTCAAGAAGGCAACAACTGCATCCGTTTTTAAAGCATTTAAGAACAATCTCAAAACTTAAGTCGCACAAAAGCAGTCTCAAACTTTAAGACAGAATTCCAATCTTAAATATAAGTAATTTTTTGTGATCCACTTTAGGATCAATCTTCAATTTTAAGTACAATTTTATGGGCTTAGGTCTGACTTTAAACCAAAGACAGTTTCATAATCCTGAAGCCATAAATAATTAGAATATATAATGTAAGTAAAAAAAGCTTTTGTAACCCTTTTCTCTGTAATGAAAGAAATTCACACAACTATGGGGAATAACTATGAATAATATTTCTAATAAAAAAGCAAAACTCAGAAAATAAAATAAATAAATAGATAACTATTTCCCATTACCCTTATATGGTGCTGTACTATAAAACTTTATATTTCTCTGTCGTCGTCATGTATTTCATCATATTCAACCTCTTCGGAGACCTAGTGCATTTTCCCGCAATAGTTATCGTTCATTGAAAAAAAAAAAAAAAAAAAAAAAAAACTCCCTAGTGTATTAGACGTCACAATAGCCTGGTTTGCGTCACAAAATTGCGGATAGACTTCTGTAAATTGTTTCAATAATACTGCATTAAATTTGAAAGTAAATTTGAGAGCGGTGCCGAATTCGAAAGGGTATGTAAGTGTATGTTCATTTTTAAATTTATTGCATGAATGTTCGGGATACATGAAGATTTAGTCAGCCAAGAAATATAATATATTTTTTCTTGGCTGTATAAATATTCATATTTCCCTCACGATCATGAAATAACTGTATAAAATTAGAAAATTATACTTATCGTTATCGGTTCTAGAGATCAAACTTTTCTTCTTCCTTGCCATTTCGAAGATCCACTAAAACATGCCAACTAAATACTGTAAGAAAGAATAAAGGACAAAATAACAAATATGTGAAATTATCAGTGGGTAAATGACACTTAATAAATGAAATACTTTCTCTATCTTCAGTTTTTCTATTAGGATTGGGTAGTCATTACCATTTCTAGACTATTTAGAGCTTTCACAAACGAAGAATTCTGTATAAAGATATAAGAAATTGTATTAAATATTACAGCTAAAAGATTTTTTTTAGTTAAAAATAACATTTGTAATATTTTATTTCAAAAAAATAAGATATTTTTTTTTTTACAATAAAGAAATGAAACTGTTATGGTTGATTTAAAAAGTTACCAAAAATACATCAAATACAGTCTTCAACTTTGTACTTACTGTCAAAAATTCGTTTTTACCACTTTCAAATAAATGAACTAAAAATATTCCGAGTATTCACATTTGATTCATTATTTTCTTTCTCACGCAGTTTTAACCAAATGAACACATAATTTTATGAATGGACATTGTTCCGTTGGATGGCTGATGTCGCTTTTTCGAGAACTTTTGAAGACATTTCTTGCAGTTAGATCTTGATATTTGCACTTTCTGTCGAATAATCGATACAAAGGATATCAGAAAATGATGATTGCCACTTTATTTACAGCGTTTTCATTTTTATTAAGCCTTGACTTGATCATGATCGTGTCGTGTCACAAAAAGATGTAAAGTATTTATAATAAAACACCTTTTTACTGACTATTCGGACGATATCCAAGTTTCCCGTCCCCAGACAACAACCATTTCCACCGACTACGCCTCAGGAAATAATTGTTGTCTTGGAGGACAATTAAAAAAGTTCCATTCTCTTCATAGTCAGTGAATTGGTGTGAATTATATAACTTTTTTCACCAACAATATAATTTTTTATCCTACTCTTTAGAATTGTACATGACGATACAAGCACTAAGACAACGTCCATCTACCTATCAGTTGATTTTTTTTTTCCATTAAAAAAGTAATGATTTTTTATTTGTAAATTTAATTCTGTTAAATTTGAAAAACTATATTAATTTCATTTCTCTAAATCCGTTTTATTATACTTTACTGCCCAGAGTATTATGCAGTGGGAAACCCCAGTCTGCTACCTTGAATTTAATAAAACTGCAAGACTCCTGTGATATATAAATGACATTTAGATCTTGGAGCTCTGGGTTTGTGGCTTTTAAAAACACTTTGAATGTTTTTTCCCATGATTCAGGGTTTGTATCGATACAGTGTTTCTTTATTTGAAATGCTTTTGTCATCCTTTGGTATTAATATTAATTCATTTTTATCCATTAAAACATCGTAAAACATGAGAATTATGCCATGAAACATATTTGAGGTTGACAATTTATTTTCGTTTTTTGCATACATAGTTAAGTTTGTATTTACATGGGGAATCTCTCATTCCCCTATTAGAAATCCAGTAAGAAGCACAATGCTCATTTCTAGATCCACTTGGTTGTCCGGAGGCCCAGTTGATGTACTGAAGTCGCTCTGCATTTGAAACTGAAACATACTTTCCTTCATGTTGTATATCACTTGCACCAAGCCAGACGTCCTTGTAACCTTTAGAATAATATTAAATTAAGTCATGTTTCCGATTATAAAGAAATCATTTGTCCAAAGATCTTATATGATTATTATTATCAGTCATTTTTTACAATATTTTAATGTTGTTGAAGCATAACTCGTTAATATGAAGCAAAATACAAATATTAATGAACACTTTTATTTCAATTATTTATGTGCTGTAGTGGCATCAACTATGGTCAACGTTAACTCAAAACAGTGTGTGACGCACTAACAGAATATTACAATGTACCTCTTAATCGAGATTGGAGATCAATCCATTTTTCTTCCAGTGCATTTTGAAGTTCCAATATATCTGCACCAATAAGATGACATGCTGACTATACGAAAAAAGAAATATCAATTTAAGCCCTTAGATTAACACACGCAACATTTAGATGAAATTATTTATGATTACCGTATGTCACTTTTGGCATCTATTGTCTGTTGAACATGATATGCACGATATTGTTTATTATTACTTTTTTAAGGAATGAAGATATTATTTTTTGTCAATTTAAAACGCATCGATTTAAAATCGTTTCCAGAAATAAGTTTTTCAATTTAATCATAATCATAGATGCTAGTTTCAACCCATGGATTTGTACCTCTCTCTTTTTCTAAGAAAACATACTCTTTGACTCCTTTTTTTTCTAGTATATTCTTTTAAATCAGCATTTATTTTTTTTAGGGGGGGGGGGGAGGTTTGAAGTGAAGAGGTTTTGGTTGATAGGCGGGGCTGATTGAAAGAAAAAAAAACAAAAAAAAACAAAAAAACAAACAAACAAAAAAAAAAATATCTCAAACTATCAAATGAAATAAATTTGTTAAATTACAGTAATAAGTTTAGGATTTCTTTCATGGCGTAAATTGCTAAATAAAAATTACATCACACGACGGAACTTAGTGTTAATAAACGCAACCAAAGTGTTGCAAATCACCTGTTTATTTTGACCTTCCACGGAATTTGTGTATTCATAACCTTAAAATTTGATTGGTTGTTATACTTAGGCAACGTGTGGACACAGACATGAATCAAAATAAGAAAGGAACTCTATGCATTGCACAACCAGTAATTTTATTGAAAAAAGTTATTAGAAGTTGATTTTTTTCTTACCATTCCATCTTTAAAGGTAACTCTGAATCGTGAAAAATAATAACAATTCCATTGGTAAGAGGCCCATCCTTTTTCGCAGGTTCTCGTCGAAACTAAAAAGGAAAAATGAGATAAATCCTCTTTTTTATAGGAGTACGTTTAGATATAACAATAGTATGAAAACTTTCTATATGCTGACCATATAAATTGGTATTTATCAACTTCTAGATATGACTTATCTGACCCACACATGTTTAAATTAAAACGAGAAAATCATTTTTTAATCATAATATTTAATTTTCATGTCAGATCATACGAAGATTGTAACTCAAATTTACATCTAACTGACGTATTGATTTCTATTATTGAAGGTTGCATCAAACACTATCTGAATTTACTAAACATATTTCTTTGCCTGTAATTCATTAACATTATCGTCATACAAAGTGTCTGAATTTCTATCCACTGAGTGGAATCGTTTTTTCTTCTTTTCTTATGCATTTTATCTGTCATTTATTATCATAGAAATTTCTACCGCGATATCAAATTGTGAGTCGTTCAATAAAGGAAAAAAATAAACCCAGAAACCCTTTTTGTTTCCCATATCTAATTTATGAAAAATTCAATTTTCTATCATCACATATAATATATAAAAGAAAGCAATATTTTATCAGAAAATCAAAATTAATATAGTGGAGTTTAAAGTTGACCAAAAAAGGAATCAATTAAGCTTATTCATTCATGTAATCTTAGTGATCTGGCTAGGCGACGGCTTAGACAACAAAAACCAAGTGAATTGAGTGAGAATTGTCATTTATTAAATGACAATTACTATATAACAAAAGTATTGTTAAAGGAAGATAACCGGGATAATAATAGCAAATTTTCTTAAGTATAAATGCTGATAAAATTGGCAATGGAATTTCCCCTGTGGCAAACAATCATCAGTTTGGACATGTATATTTCATATACGGAAATTGAACAGATTTCGTTTTTTCTCCGTAATTACAATCCCTCAATAAAGATACCATGGCAAATACATACCCATATGATTATATCCCGTAAAAAAGCTGAATATCATCAAAACACGTAACTGTCCAATTATGAAATGCATTCTTTTTTAAGAATCAAATACTCTTCTACATGAATAGATCTTTCGTGCAGCACTTATATTTATAAACAACAATGAATCAATAACAGCCGGTTTATCCATCTGGGCATATAATTACAGTTTGACATGGTTTGTTCGCATACGTCCATTTTATAGCGTGTTAACACAAGTGGCTTTGCGTGCCAATAAAGTTTCAATTATATTGTGTTAAAGCTTCGTTTTAACTTTGTTAAAAAATAGCATGGATAAAACCAATTTTAAAGGTCCAAGGCCTACTACCTTTTCCTTCGAGGCAGGATTGAAATTAATTAATCAATTCACTTTATAGGTGAATTGTTCATTAAAGATTTATCAATAATAATGTATTTAGTGTTTTAATAAGACAGGCCCAGACACAAGTAGCATATTTAAATCGTACATTGAAGCAGAAATATAATGTAGTACAAAAAAGAAAAACTCTCAGGTTTAAAAGAAATTAAGATATGCCCTTCTCTTTATATTATCAAAACGTTACACAAACAAAGCATTCATTTTGATGCAAATTTCACCTATATCTCTTTAAATAGTGAAATGCATTTCGATACGGAAAGAAATAACCATTTTTATTTTTCATAGATGGCTATTATTAAATTCAATTCTTGAGATTAGAACAATGATAACTTACACGGATAAACTTACGCCAATCAGTCAATTGAATGGTCACTGAAAGGTCGTGCAAGGTCACTGAATGGCAGAACTCTGCCATTCAGTCACAATTTAGTAGACTTTTATTTACCCTTCCTTTAATTGAATGACATAGTTTCATCCTGTGTTATGTTGAAAAATACAAACATAATCATAATCCGGTCTCTTGCAACACAACCTCAGCATGTGAGTAATACCGGTGAGAGCAATTCCATTTGGAATGTAACACAAATGCAACACCAATTTATTATGTTGAATTATACGCACGATTTAGGTGCATTGAACAATTTCTTATGTTACCCTCAGCATAACAACACACTTAGCAACAGGTACACACAACGATAATATCACATGTGTGTAGATTATGCGCATACGGTTCTCCATAGATTGTTCAAAACTCCTGTTGTAAGTTTGAAAGAAGCCGGATAAACTTGGTGTTCATCAAAGCTTGTGTCTGAAAACAACAAACTGCAAAGAAAATAAATCTTGCGAATGCAGAATTAACGAAACTTTATATGATTAAAGAAACTCTATCACAAAAACAATAAACAGGTCGGTGAATCTTTCTTGGAAGCTTTCTTATTGAGAAAAACGGAAGCGGTTAGTTTAAAAGCCGTGCAAAATTCGAACAATCTCCGTCTTTATTTCCTTGACATCACATATCGATGAGACATTCATGAAGTAAATAGCGCATGTTTTGGAGGGTAACAGTTCAAATTTAACCCCGAGGAAAACGATTGTGAACCTTTGCTGATACGTCAGTTGACAATGGTTTTCCTGGGGGGGGGGGGGGGGGTTTCAACTGTTACTCTCCTAAATATGTTGTATTTATATAATGCCATCTTATATATACAAACAAGACAGGTACTGTACCAACCAGACCCGACCTGACAAAAAGCAGATTCTGGGACTGCTTAGTAGTCCCAGCGGCTCCAGAAAGCAGTCCCAGCAGTTCCAGTAGGCAGGGTTTATAAGTTTATTGGGCGGAGCTTAGTCCTAACTGAGAAAACATATTTATAAATAATAATAATAAAACAACAACAACAAAACAAAACAATGTCAGTTTTATCAAGGTAGTTGAAAAGAATGAGGGTACTTTAGTATGTCAATTGGAACTTTTCCGGCTATCCATTTTAAGCTTTACAATATATCGCTAATTTAATCAATGATTATTGTGCATGCATATGATTTTAACAAATATGCCTTGAATATTTTGTCATACATATTTCTATAATTACAGACAACGTCATTGAAGACAACATGTATGAGCCTTAAATTCCGAAAATTTCAACCCTACTACATTTTAGTTTAAGGTACCCGCAAATAGGCGAAGACATTTAAATCGCATGGAAGTGGAATGTAAACATTAGCACATGATTTTTTGTATTTTAAATGGAGAAGAGAGAGATTGTGTATTTTCATGGTGCACAAATAAGATTCATAGCTATGCATATCATTTTCATGATTTGTATCCATATGTTTGCTGCCTAGCACCGAATCTCAGCTCAATCTTAAGTGTCCGTCACAGGATGAAAAGCCAGGTTTCCCAAATTTGGAAACCCGATGGAAACATACGGGAATCGTGACAAGAACCACTAATTTCAACCAAGGTTGACACAAAGTAAGGATATTTTAAATTGTACAGAGGAACCCCCCCCCCCCCATTCACCCCAAGGGGAAATGATCAACTCTTATAGATATTATTGATATGATAATTGTTGAGCAACTTATAATTTTGTTACCTGTAGACTTTATTTTAAGAATAATGAATATTTGTTTAAGAGTCCTTTTGTCAAGGTTCAAAGTTCAATTGAAATTACTTTGAGATACATGTATTTGAGGATTCGAGACTTAGGATATACAGTGTTGTTGGTTTTTAGTGCTTTATATATATATATATATATATATATATATATATATATATATATATATATATATATATATATATATATATATATATATATATATATATATATGTGTGTGTGTGTGTGTGTGTGTGTGTGTGTGTGTGAGGGTGTGCGTGCGTGAAAGGTGTCAAACGGGGACAATCGTTTGTTTACACACCTTCCAACCGGGGACAACCTCCCAACCGGGGACGTCCCCGGTTGTCTTTGATTAAAAATAGCGCCAAATTCGAAATCAGGGATGTCTAATTACCCCAAAAAGCCGAAAAGATCCGTTTTTCAACATGTTGAAAAAATGTCCCCGGTTAGTTAGGATTAAAACATGTGTGTGAGTGTGAACTTTTCACAATTACCGAAGATTGTATTTGGGGGTTACACACGGGTCCCCGTTTGTATAGTGAAAAACAAGTCACGTGACTTTTCTGAAACAAACATTACATTGAGATATCATTCTTGCTTTATATCCGGTATTTTATTTTAAGAGAGAGAATTTAGATATATTATTTATCCTTACTCATGTATGAACATCAGTCCGTCCGACAAACG